TAGGAACGCCAACGGACTTGGTGGTCCACGGTGTTCTCAGGTTTATAAGGTAGAGCACGAAACGGATCACGCACATCCGTTCTCAGGTTTATAAGATAGTCTTCTACTATTTTGCAAACAATATGCAAAATTTCAAGTAATTAAGTGCGAAAAATAGCCATATGTAGAGGTTTCTTTAATCGACAACGCAAAATTAAGTATATTATTTGCAAAATGGTAAACTACTTTTTTTTTTCAGAGTTGTCTAATATACAAATAAATGGCAGCTGTTGTTTTTTTGTACATGTTGTTTGTAAAATAGTACAGGGGTTTTATTCACCTCAATACGTTCAACGCTCTTACGCAATTTGTCTATGTCTGGGACAACCAGTAATAATCACTACGGAAATATCAATAATCGTTAATTTAACGTACCGTCTATACGCGCAAATAAATTCTCTTATTTTTGGTTATGCCAAAATAAACTTTATATAGACACACATAATAAAAATATCTCATAATTTACCACATATTGCGTTCAGCGTATGTTCAGAAGCAAATGTTAATTCATCCTTTTCAATAGTTCCACCGACATCCTTTAAGGTCTTGGTCATGCGTTGTCCCTCTGCAATTAAAACATCAACATACTTTCGCAATACATTGAAATGAAATGCAGGCGTCAGTATCTTACGTCGTGAGTGCCACTTGGCACCTAAAATATATATAAGATTATGACTAGCAACATTTTTTGAATAATTTTCAGCGCAAATATTATCGCGCGATAACCCTACAGAATAAAGTTCAATAAGGCCAATTACGCTCTCCTGCTGCCTGCGATTACTTCTCGCGCTTTTGAATTTATCATTCAACTAATAATCTTTAGTAGACTTATAGTTTCAGGTTGATTTCATTTTGTCACTTGTCTTATTAAATAGTTGTCGAAAAATGGCGAGGTAGAATAAAGGAGAATTCTTAAACTCCGTTTTATTTGTTTACTTCTTCTTTATGCGCTAAATCGATAACAGCAAATTTCGGCGTAAATTCACATGTCATGTCTTTATCAAAATAATGAATGGACAAGAAAAAATATGTCTCACGGCAAGGTTTAATTGCTATTCATATGTGACCGGAGACATATATTTTTACATTAGATCTCACTTGCAAACTCGTGAGCTTACAATGAACAAGTGATACGGCTTTATCAGCTTGAGAAAATCTTTAAGTTTATGTATGTGTAGAATTATATATTTTCCGACATCACAATACGATACTTTTTTTTTCATCCTAATAAATGTATTATGAATTATATACTCCAGTACATAGTACTCAATAATTTGAAGCGTACGTCCGAAAGTTGAACATAAGGAGTGTTTTCGAAAGTGGAAGGATCTTTGGAAGAAGGTTATGGCTTCCAAAAAGAAGTATACTGGATGGAACACGACGTTATTGGCCAAAAATTAACTCTTTCTTCTGCTATAGCACTAAGTCGGATATTTTCCGGGCAGACGTCGTATATGCGTCTATTTATGATATTAATTTTTGCTACATTACCTCCGCTGGTAAGAAGTCCAGTATTTAGCCAAGGAATCAAAATTTTGTATATGATACTTTTTTCTATATGCTTCATATTGTTTAATATTACCTGGAATCATAAGAGATCACATTTAAAGATATGTAATGTATACGCTGATAATCGCGCATCGAAGTAAACAACAACTTGTATCAGAATTTTTAGACAACCAATTAGCACCATGCAAGAGAGGCTTTAACATTTTGATACTTCTCGAGATATCTGATAAAACGACTTATTTTTATAAGTGGATCGTTGTATCATGTTAATCAGTTAAAAATAATTTTTAATCGGCTATTTACGTGCATATTATATCTATACTGTCATCTTATTTTGTTGACGTAAGACGTTCGTGCAAATATATGTATGTAGTACAAGTCTTCACTATAATGGCGGTCCGTGGAGTAGATATTATGGAATTTATTCCGTATTATGAAGAATATTTTGGATATATTTCGAATAACAGATATACACACAAAAATAAAACTTATTAAATAAACTAGAACGAATTTATATTTTAACTTCTCTATACAATCCGCAAACTTCTTATCAATAGAGATACACATAAGTCTTCATTCTGCAAATATGTTTACGCTTCGCTGTTCTATTTTCAAATCCCGTCTATCTTGTTTTGCAC